ACACACACACACAGACACACACACACACACACAGACACACACACGGACACAGACACGGACACAGACACAGACACACAGACACAGACACACACACACACACACACAGACACAGACACACACGCAGACACACACGCAGACACACACACACACACACAAAAACACACAAACACACACACACACACAAACACACACACACAAACAAACACAAACACACACACAAACACACACACAAACACACACACACACACACACACACACACACACACACACACACACACACACACACACACACACACACACACACACACACACACACACACACACACACACACACACACACACACACACACACACACACGCACACACACACACACACACAGACACACACACACACAAACACACACACACAAACAAACACAAACACACACACAAACACACACACAAACACACACACACACACACACACACACACACACACACACACACACACACACACACACACACACACAGACACACACTTTTTGTTTTAGTGCTCCACATATTCATGTAGTTGGAGCTCTGCTGGAGAAGGACATGCTCAAGCAAGAGGTAGTGGATGAGCCCGTAAGTGATGAGGTAGAAGGGTCGCGAATGAAGGTTTATATGACGTATCATATAGGGTTTAGGGTCTTCTGCAAACTGTGCTCATCACGCTCCGATGCTCCATAATTCACACTCTGATGCTCCGCAGTTGATGCTCACCCAATTCTGCTCATCACGCTCAGATGCTCTGCAAGTCATGCTCTGATGCTCCACCACTCATGCTCGACCAAGCTTGCTCACCACGCTCAGAAGCTCTACAATTCATGCTCTGATGCTCCACAAGTCATGCTCGCACAACTCTGCTCAGCACGTTCAGATGCTCCACGATTCATGGTCTGATGCTACACACTTCATGCTCCCGCAACTCTGCTCATCGCGCTCCGATGCTGCACAGTGCATGCTCATATGCTCTAACACTCATGTTCCGAACCTTCTCCATGCTTTCGTCCATCATCATGCTCGACATGTTCCATCACCATGCTAAAATGACATGCTCACGCAATTCTGCTCAGCTGCTATTCACAACACACAAGCTGAAAGCATCACGATCCACTCAAGCTTGATGGGCTCGAGGTCTTCTGGGGTTTGGGGTGTGTCATGCTCACGGCATCAAGAATTCACCCACATGCCAAGCAAAATACGAAATCCAGGTTGAAAACTGCGTTGTGGTTGAGGTAGTTGAACAACAGCGAGGACGGAACCAATGCACAGCTTGCATTACAGGATGTCTAAGACGATCACGCAGGTACACAGTTGGACGTCTCCAACTGCTTCACCACGAACCATGGGCGTCTTTGTTAGCAGGAGACCCATGGCCGTGCTCCTGCCCCCTGCTGAACATCATGTGCAAAAAACTTGTTAGATCGCAAATTCGTGCTTCTTTTCGCTCTCGTATGCAGTGCTTGTTGACGTTCCCGCATGTACAGCGGTGTGCCACACACACCCCTTTCGGGGCGACAAATGGATTGAGAGCATGGAATTCACACGTAGAGGTAGTCCAAGTCCACGAACTTTTCAGCTCTTTGTTTGGCTTGTTTGTGCGGTGCCGTGATCAGGTGGATTTCCCATTGTCGCACTGTTCTGGAAGCAATCCTGCAAATTGGACAGGCGAGATATCTGTCCTCCTTTGGGTGGCATTTCATCTTCTTGACCTTCCCGTACTTGTGATGCTTCCGATGTCGATTGGGATTTGGACACGATCTGCTTCTGGGTGTATGGTAATCATCTCGTTTCTGGTACTTCAGGAGCATGTCTTGCACCCGCTTGGTGCTCTCCTCGTGACTCATCACATACTCGAAGTCCGCCCTGGTCTGGATGTAGCGGGAGTGGTACATGATCTCGTGGCTGGTCATGGGATCGTGTTGCCGATGTTAAGAAGGCACGGGTAGCAAGGTGATGGGAACAGCTACTCTTTATGCAAAGCAGCTGCACATGACGATCACAAGGCAGCAGATCAAAGAGAATGTTGCATCGACTTACGGCTCCAGTCTCTTTCGCTCAACAAATGGTTCGGACACACTAGGATGACATTGCACAGACACTTGACGCTCAGCATTGACGCTTGTTCTGTTGTTCATCTGGTCGTGGAATAACCCTGTGTGAAACTGCGCCGAACACTGATTGTCACACGTTTTGGCGCAATTGCACACTCTCTCAAAACTGAAAGATGCTCTGCATGCGTTAAGGCCTGCGTCGGTGGTGCATCTAAGCCGCATGTTCCTACTCAGCGCCCATAAGGTCTGATGTCAGTGGGGGATGGGGTTGAGGATATTACGGTCTGCACGTCGAGCATGGTTTGAACAACATCTCAACCTCTGCCTTCTGGTAGGGCTTGACGTCTTGCTCGGCTGAATTGATTATCTTACCGCATCCTTTGCGATGATAGATGGTGCTCTTCTTGGTGACAAACACTACGTTGGGGTCCACTTCGTTGTTGAGGTTTGGGTGAGTGCGAGTGGACATCTTGGGTTTCGGGTCGAGGTCGATGGGTTTGTCACCATGGCAAAGAGGAGCGAAACCCTTGTAGTCGAGGAAGCGGGTGTTGGATGCCGATGCCGAGCCTGGGGTAGTGGCGCGTGTGGAGTCTGGATTGCCTTCTGTTTTGACCTTCTTGGACGCAGGGGGATCACGTTGCTCTTCAGGCTCTCCGAGGGGTCTGTGGCCGTGTTGGAGCCTTTGAACGTCGTTGAACATGATGGCGTTGGTGATGTGTTGTGCGGCTAGAGCTTTGTCATGGTCCGGTAGCCGGAGGTAGCGTGTGGTGATGTCGTTGGGGTCCGATGCGGCCATGATGAGCCATGCCGCCATCACTTCATTGGACGCCATTGCGCTGTGATGAGGTCTGCGTGGTCACTGAGCTGTCTCGTGAATGATCGTGACGTTCAGGTTCGCGTACTGCACGACTGGTCGGGATCTTGCATGGTCTGCAAACTGAAATGGAAGAGGCAGACAATATCGATGGCGTAGTTGGGCCCGCAAAATCTGATGGGCGAAAACGGCTCCTTTGTGTAGTCGCTGTTGGCCTGCGGCCAGGGAGTCAGCTTCCATGGGCAGGTCCTGCGTGACGCATCGGTGTATCAAAGACTCTGGGTCGTCTTGTTGTGCGAGGGAATGCTGTAGATGAGGATGGGGGGAAAGGGTAGGGTCCAAGTGCAACATCGTGCTGTTCCGTTTTGCTCGTAGTGCTTGAAGGTGAAACTTCACTTCCTCGTCTGTCATGTGCCTGAGGTCCCTGGAGATGCCCTGGTCCATGAAGATGACTCTGTATTTCTTGCCGAGCTCCGGGAGTATCAGAGGGATGATTTGATCCATCTTGCTCTACTATGTACAGTAACTGCTTCAAAGTCTCTCACCGCATGTCACATGCTATTTGCAGCTCAACATGGGAATGCGCTTTGCAAATGTTCAACGGCATGCTGTTGCATCACTAATCCGGCCCTTGTACCGGTGTACTGGTCGTGTGAAGGATGCATCACAGGCAAATCATGTCTCTGCTCAGTGGAATGCACACTCCGAAAGGCTGAACTGCGAACTTCTAAGTTTTCAGACTTCACAACGCACTGCAAACGAATCTTGTCCGCATTGGTCTACGGGTCTTCCATCCAGGGGTGGGTGGAATTGGGTCTTGCGTCGTCGAAGAGATCAGTCCACGGACAGGTCCGGCTCGGTGTAGCTGTTGTAGGTGGTCGTCGGGAACCGTTGAACCGGATTCCATTCTTGGCGTCTTTGCCAGAGCTCTTCTTCGTCTGAAATGGTGCCTACGTCTTCGAAGAACGTGTGGCTGGAGAGCGGATGGTTGGGCTGCCGGTGGTCGTGCTCTGCGTGCAGTAGAGATGATACTAGTCGTTTGTGTTGACGTAGCCACTCTGTCAGATTGTCACGTAGAGGTTGCATGGGGATAGCGCAGGTGGAGCCGTTGAAGTCTAGGATGGTGTAGTCCGGGCCGAAGATTTCTCTTGTGAAGCGCCATTCTGCGTGTCTGGGGCTGAAAAACTTGAGGACGTGTATCATCATGTGGATGTCGGCGCGTGAGAAGATATTGTTCTGCAAACAGGACTCGTTGTTCCTGGTTTGCCATTCCTGTAATTTGGTGTTGACGTAGAGGATGAGCTTGTGCACCCCGAGGATTTCAGGAGGGAGGTACTGCTGGTACTCCTCAACCGTGTGCTGTCGGGTGATCGCCAAGATCGCATTCCACTCCATGTCATCTTGAAGTTGGCGTTCTAGGTGCGAGGGG